CGTAAACTTCCTTGAATTCGGATTCGGCTCCTTCTTACGGCCAAGTGTTGTTTTGATGGGAATAATTTGCGAGGTCATGCAGGTAGGCCCTCTACTCCTGGTCTTCCTTGGTTGTTCAAATTGATGGCCCCGACTATGTTCCCTCCTACTTTCCCCGTTATGGCTTCCACTTTGGTCCAAGTCTTTCAAAAGCGGACTTCCTTTGATTTTGATCTTCTTGCCTACGGGTTGTTGATCTAGCGGTATTCTTGATCGGGTTTCTCTCTTCATGCGTTCTTGGGATCGTTGACCGGAGCAAGTCCTGGAGCTGTTCGTACTTCTCCCGTGATGTGAAGTTGCCACGAGTTCTTCTAATGCTTCTCGAATCTTATCATAAGTCGTACTCTTTGTGCGTCTCTCTTGACCTCTTGTTGTGATTTTCTTTTATCGTATTCACCAATTCGACTCAGTATCTAGTCCGAGCTTCTCTCTGTTTGTCGAGTAGCGGTCTTTGGCGCCCTGTTTGTTTCAACTTGTTTTTCCTTTCTCTGCTTCGTCTCGACTCTCGGTTTCTCCATCGTAGCCACGAGCAAAGGGTGATATGTTGGATCTCGATTCATCGATGATGACGACATCGGGTGCTTCTTGGGGGTTTAATGGTGACCGAGGACGTCGAACCATGAGCACTTCCCGTGCGTGAGCCATTCCGTTATTGTTGTTAGTTTTCATACTGTCGGAGTTGCTGATGACTTCAGTATGCGCCTCGACGTCGTAGATTGAGTCTCCCTCTTGGTAAGGTAGAATAGCTGTTGTTGTTGTGCCGACTAGTTGGGTTCCGCTATCCTTAGGAACGGAACCTGGCCAGTGGATGATACAGTCTTGTGATGTTATCGTTAGCACGAGACCCTCCTGAGCTCCTGTCAGTGGTATCCCAAGCGTTGAATTTAAAGACCTTTCGAACTGTCCCTGATAGGATTTTGTCGTGTTGTCGAGCCCAAATGGAAAAGAACTCGGCCTTTTGAAAGAACTCTGAGGATAATCCGAGTTGTTTTGGGTTGTGCTCTGGAATCTTGCCAAAAAAGAACTCGACTTCTTGAAAGCACTCGAATAAGACTTCATCTCGGATACGGAGCTTGAATTCGAGTCAGATGCGTGTAGCTGTGGAATCTTATTCGAATCGGGTATTATGAGCTGCGCGAATCTTCTGATGAGCTGATCCGTCGCAGTTATCGAAATAGAGGATTCTTCATGATGATCCGGATCTTTGAGGAGATGACTTTGAAGCTTGCCGTAGTTGTCTGCCTCGCAGATCCACGAGCCGAAGATGAAAATCGATCCCGTCGGGAAGATCATGTTATTGAGGTCCATCGAGGTCTCGGATGCAAAGTCGCCGAAGGCCCCTACCTGGCGCGCCAGCTGTCGATGTTTTACCACCGATAGCCTGCCACAGGGGTACCGTGGCAGTATAGTTCGGGCTTCGACGTATGTTGAACTCGATGGTGAATGCAAGAGACAATCGATTTATCCTGGTTCAGGCCCTCGATCGTAGATCGAGTAACGACCCTACGTCCAGTCGGTGTTTGCCTTTTGCGTTGGATTAATTATGAAGTGTTATGTCGTACAATTGTCCTTCTTCTTTAGGAGCCCTGCCCTCCTTTATATATTCAGGAGGCCGGAGTCCTAATCGGTTTACAATGAGATTTCCTAGTAGGATTACTTAATAGTTCTATTACTAAGATTACATGGGAAGAATCCTAGTTGAACTAGATCTTCTCTCTCTCTTGCGGGGTATCCTGTGGGTCCCGCATCAACAATGCCCTACGTCCAGTACGGGTCGGTCGGTGACTTTATTCCTGAGCCCAGGTGCTCGAAGTCTGTAGTGGGGTTACAAACGAGAAGGAGAAAGGAGGGGTGTACGAGAGGCCCGGCCAGGTCCGACTGGAAGGGCTAAGGGCGACCGGAACTCCGCTATGAGCTAGGAGTCTAAGTGTGTGCTTGTGGGGTTGTGAGCTATCGATCTAGTGAATCTGAACTTGGGGGAAGGCGACCTCCTTCGTTGGAGGGAGTGCATCCCCTTTTATAGGAGGGGATGGCTTTACAGGTGAGAGGGATAGAGTATGGATGTTTCTAAGCCTTGTTGTCCACGCCGACGAGGGTAGCGATAATGGTAGGCGCCCACAATACTATTGACATCACTGTAGAATGTCAGGTGCACATGGGAGGTTGCGTTGGCTTCTTCAGGAAGGGTGGATGTCGGTACCTGCAAAATACTATTGGTATGTGAGGAGCCCTACCCTGCGTACCAGGTATGGTGCGTATGGGAGCCCAATGGCGCCTACAATACTGTAGACACAAATGTCGGTGCCTACAAAACTGTTTGTGTCAGGGCGGTTGAGGAGCACTGTTCCCGTAGGCGTACAGGGTATGGTCCCGGCATCGTGGTTTGACTTTGTGCATTGCCTTCTCCGTTTGCCCCTGGTCCCTTCCGAGCGGGCGTCCCCGGTCGGATGGTCCCAGTCGGCCCTGGCCGCGCCAGTCGGAGAAGAGTGGTAAGCAGGCTTCCTATGGGGTCCCCGGTCGGAGACACGTGGTCGGAGTAGGAAGCGGTGTTCTGGGCCAGGCCTTTCCGATCGGAGAGGCTGCCCGGAGGCGGCAGGTGCCCGAAGCGAATGCTCCGGTCGGAGAGGTGGGCCGAAGAAATTTGACGAGTGGGCGCTTGTTCTTTTGGGTAGACCTTCCGGTCGATGACCGGACCTGTCTTCTCGGCCCGTTGTGTTTTAGACTCTTGGGCCGGCCCATGAATTACGTGCTATTTTCCCGGGCCGAGCCCTGGCGTGGAAGCCGGTCCCCGAGGGACCCTGGGTTTATGAACCCGACACTACTTCTTTCAAAAGTTTTACAAATGATCTCTGGATTCTGATGGAGAAACAACCTAAACCAAAGCTACAAATTGGGCAAATTTTTTGTTTTCTAGAGATGCACAATAAAGATGAGCTAAGCATGCTCCTCTACAAATCGTTTCCAGATGCCTCTAAAATGTTTTTGTATAGTAGTGATGGTTTCCACCATCTCGTCGTGCTTCCCATTCTCGAACACCAGCGTGCAAACCGTCGATAGTCTGACACGGTCAGACACAGTCATCGTTGCCATGGTCGACGATCAATTTCTCATCTAAGGGGAGTCTGGATCTGCCGGACTAAACTTTAGTCCATGTCACGTCACAAGTTTGAGACAAATTAGAAGATTTAAACATAGACTAATTATAAAACTAATTGCATAAATGAAGGCTAATTTATGAGATGAATCCATTAAAGCCTAATTTGTCCAGGATTTGCCCATGTGATGCTATAGTAAAAATTTGCATAGAATAATTAGGTTTAATAAATTCGTCTCGTAAATTAGCCAACTCGCTCTTATGCAATTAATTTTATAATTAGTTCATGTTTATCCCTAATTGGCCTAGAAACATGGACTAAAGTTTAGGTCTAAGGATCCAAACACGTCCCTAAGAGAGTCTAGAAGGTCAAAACTACTCGGTGACGGGACGATTTATACACCAGGAGGTGTGCAACTGCCGTCTCTAAGATCATGTTTGGCACAGCTCCTCCATCACCTTTTATGAGCTGTTTGAAGCTGTTTTGTGATAAAACAATAAAACACCTCCACCTAATGACTCCTTAAAACGTGCTCTTACAAGGTATGGATGGGAGATGAAGCTGAAAACAATAGGTTCACCTAGCTACTCGCGCTGGTGGGGCTTGCTCAATGGGGCACCCACTACCTTGGTTCGTGCCCCGCTTGACACATGTTTCGTCGCACCCGGGGTTTCCTCCATTTTTCTTTGCAGCCTCAAGCGCGGATGTCCCACGATGGTCAAGGTGTCGTGCTCGTCACACTTGGAGTATGATGATTTTCATGTACCTCTCAGCCATGTGTGTCTTTAGGTATATGTGTAGTGTAGTAGGTTTAGCTTGTGTTCAGTGTGTGTGGGCGTGTGTGTGTGCGTGTGGTGTGTGGTGTGAGTTTGTACGCAAGTGCATATACTATAACTTGTACTTGAAGTATTGAGGCATCAAATAAAACTCGCTTTAGTAGGTCTTGGCTGCGATTATGTGAGAGCATGTTTAAAGGAGCTTCACATATTGGGTCATTTTGCTAAACAAATTCACCAAAACAGCTTAACTCCACTGGTAGAGCTGCCCGTGAAGAAGTGGCTTCACTAATGAAGTGAAGTTGTGCAAATGAGGCCTAATAATGTAAAACACCTGTGTAATTGTTTAGGCCCTGTTGAGAAAATGGGATTTTTTCCTAAATTATGTTTTTTTTCTGTGATATATATTAAACTGATTTATGTGCAAATTCTTGCAAATTTCTGTGTTCCCCTAAACGTTGCTTCTCGTTGCGATTCACGTGCCCTTTGTCCTCTGTAAGAGAGCAATTTTAGGTCTACCTCTACAAATTTTGGAAGCGCGCGAGCAGTGTCACATGTGCATATCCTTGCTATTCATCGGACACCTCACACCAGCCACCAGTACGTGGACAGTTGTGCAAGTGGAACATGAGGACAAATGAAAAATGAGATGTGGTGTGTTGAAGCGCTGAGGTCTTCTCTGCCACTCATTGAGAAAAAGTTGCGCGAGAAATTATGTAGCATGAACACCGCACATATCTGTGTGCTTATTAAGAAATTTAGGGGTGCTTGACAGGGCTTTCCTGAGGTGCTCCTCTGAAGGAGCCGAATCATCATTTTTTTTTACTGAAAATCAGTTTCTCTTGCGAAACATTTGGTAGAGCTTCTTCGAAAAAGCCGGAGCTGGAACCGAAACCAGGAAGAAGCTCTACAAAACAGGATATGCGTGATCCTGTACATAGCACTCGCAGGCGTAGCATATATACACATACACGTACACCACACACACATCTGATCTGAGTGCTCATTATTCAGGGAAGTGCGTGGAAACGTGGACACCAGCCAGACGCACACGCATGCAACAGCCACTCCATTGCCATCCATGGCTTCATCAAAAGTCATATTCAACTGGGTCGAGCACCGCCGGCGAGAGCCCAGGGCTGTTCTCAAGCACGGCCCTGAGATCCTCGTCGTGGTCCTCCAGCTTGGCCCTGAGGAACGCCACCATGGCGCCCCCGATGGCCCTCCTGGCGAGGTCCTTGGTGTCCTCGGTGTTCCTCTTGCACATGCAGTTTTTGATGACGTAGGGCACGCCGTCGTCGTCCAGCATGTCCAGGTGCCCGTAGTCCCTCACCACGACGTGGTACCGCGGCGGCGCGCACTCGTCGTAGAACTCGGCGTGGTTGACGCCCGCGGGGGCGCACGGCGACAAGCCGACGTGCTTGGGGCCGAGCCCCGTGCCGATGACCAGCGCCGGCATCCCCGGGTCGAGGGACCGGGGCGTGAAGGTCAGCACCTTCGGCTCCAGCTGCAACTGCTTGGATAGCCCCGCCACGGGGTCCACGCCGATCAGGGCGGAGAACTTGAGCGGCGACGCCGGCGCAGTGGTTGTGGCGGTGACGGTGTCTGAGGAGGATCCTAGCCCGAGGGCCACGGCGAAGGCGGTGTCGCCGCCGCGGCTGTGGCCCGCCAGCGCCAGCCTGGAGAGGTCCGGCCTGACGCCGTGGAGGTGGAGGATGTTGGTGAGGACGTGCGCCAGGCCTTGCTGCTTGTCGGCGAGCCAGGAGGTGACCTGCCTGGTGGCGTCGATGTCCTTCGAGTCTTTCATGTTGAGCGGCGGAATGATGCCGCCGAGCTGTGATGAGCCGCGGCGACGACGACATGCGTGCAGATGTTTTTTCAGAGCTCAGGAAAAGAACGGAAACATGCATGATGCTGGGCACACGGCCGGCGACGACGAGGATGACGACGACGACAGAGACGGACCTGGGGTGCCACGGCGATGAACCCGTGGGACGCGACGTGCGACAGGAGGCTCTCGTACCAGCTGTTGTACATGCTGCAGCCGTGCAGGAAGACGGCGACGGGGTAGACGCCGGCGTCGGTGGGGGTGACCACCATGAGCGACTTGGGGACGCTGGGGACCTGGCTGTGGTCGACGTGCTTCACGTCGACGCCGTGCGGCCCCCGCTGGAACACCGCCATGCCGATGGCCACCGGCGATGCCATATCTCCGGCCCTCTCCTCTGACGTTACAACGTACGATGACATATACGAGGTGTTGTCAGTACGGTGAGTAGGTAGCGTTGATGGGCGATGGATGGAACAGGAGGTGCCGCGCGCTGCTAGATTTATAGCCAGCAGCGGGGCGAGCACGCCAATGGAGAGCCTGTGCGTGTTCCTCGTTTGCATTTGTATGTTTGCATGAGCATGACGCATTGGATGCACGTGTAGTACTGCCAGTGACAACATTCATAAATCCTGTTTGTCGCATGGCTGCTCGCACAGTGCTCACGGCCTCGCAATACGTGGTGGCCCGCAGGTGCGCGTGGCATGTGTGTCGCATGGCTGAAATCTAGTACTCCTCAGTACCGGTAATTTTGGACAGCGGTACCGTATCCAAAACATAACTTTGATTTTTTTTATTTTTATGATAATGTTTATTGAAAAGTGATATATGTATATTTTTATTTATAAAAGTACTTTTCAAGGCAAATCTATTTATATGGTTTTCATATTTTCAAACTTAACAACTTAAATATTATTCATGATTTATAATCCCAATATTTGACTCAAGCCTTGTTCAAAACAACTCGAATTATTAGTATGGAGGGAGTACATGTTCCAAATTATAGTTCATTTTCTTTATACTAAGTTAATTTTTCTCAAACTTTGAGTAAACATTTAGAAAAACACATAAAACATATACTGCTCACATAAAAGTGTTTAGGGCACCCGTATTATATGGATACGGGAGCGTTTCTTTGGATGGGTCTCGCAGTGACAAGATGTCATCTAATATTCTGTTCCTAATGTTTAGAAATGAGCCTAGAACCATAACTGGGCCCACCATCCATTACCATCTACCGATTCCCTCTGCTCGCTCGATCACTCTCGATCCGCTGCCTCCTCCTTTTTCCTCTAGCGCCATTCCCTCTCTTCCTCCCGCACCGCTACCTCCGCCCTCGTTAGCCCGCTCCGCCACCATCTGCCTGCGTCCCTCCCCTCCCCTCCTTTGTGCATCGTCGCCTCCGCCTGTTCCATTCGAGAAGAGGCGCGCGCTAGCACCTACATCTGTTGGATTTAATTTTGGGAGTTCATCGCATAAATGTGACCAAACACTCACCCATGACCAACCTAGATCCATGTTGGGAAAGGGAGTCCAACCAAGGTGGATCTAGTAATATAGCGAGCTATAGTAGCCGTGCCATACCTGGCCGCCAATGAGCACCCCTTAGGCTATGGCATAGGCCTAACCATAAACACAAATTCGCTACAAGTGTAGTATTCACAAATACGATGGCATGAACTATTGGCATGGCATGTTGTGGCTTAAAGCTTATGTAGTCATCCATCCTGCAATCCTATCCCCACTCTTGACTTCTTGGGTGACAACACGACTACACGAGTTACTGAGTCTACCGATGAAGGAACCACTCTATAAGAAACTAGGGACACGAAGGAAGTAAATAATTAGAGTTCAAGAGGTCAAAAAAGTCAAAGTGCAAGCAGGTTTGCGACCATGACCTCTTTATCTAGAGTTTCAATGAGATAGTATAGGAGTAGGGTGAAAGCATCTAGACCCCTAGTTGGATTTCGGTGATTAATGACAATACAAAATTACTATGACTAACGTGTGTTTTGCAGAGGCAATTAAGTTAAGTCATGGTAATGGCAAATTGATTGGGCAATCATGGTTGTCATGCCCCTACGATGGAAATCGTTTTGGTTTTCAAAGGATGGACGACAAGGTTAAAGATGGACTAGTTCTAAGTGTCGTTTGGTGTTGAAGAGACACTTAGAATAGTTTAGGACTTTGTTTTTTCTTTGGCCATACGAGGGTCAAATGTTGTCTGGATGCTGGTTTCGGTGTGACCGGACGCTGGCGTAGAGTCCGGTCAGTTCATTTGATCAAGGTAAAGTCGTCTGGTTGCGACCGGACGCTGAGAGAAGAGTGACCGGACGCTGAGTGCCAATGTCCGGTCAACTCCAGTAAGGTTCCAGAGAGCGGTTTTCGTGACCGGACACGTCCGATCAGTGATGACCGAACGCTGGTCAGAGTCCGGTCACAACTTAACTGCTCGGTTGCGGGGAGAACTGACCAGAGCGTCCGGTCACCCCGCAGAGGCACATAACGGTTCGTTTTGAATGAGGGGGTATAAATACTTCCTCTATTCATTCAAGGGAGTACTCTTGCCCATTTCAACAGTTAAGAAACACCCTTGAGAGTGCCAAGGAGAGCAAGAGCCTAGTGAGATAATTGAGATTTAAGAATCCAAGATTAAGGCCTCATTAGTGAAAGGAGAGTAGCAAGTGTGCATCCACCCTTCTCATTAGGCTTGTTGTGGTCAAGTGAGAGTTCTTGCTTGTTACTCTTGGTGATCGCCATCACCTAGACGACTTGGTGGTGATTGGGAGTTTAGTGATCATCCGACGGAGCTTGTGGATGACCCAACTCAAGTTGTGAGCGGTTGTGGGTGATTCACCGTGACGGAGTGTCGAAGAATCAACCCGTAGAGAGCACTTGATCCTTGCGCGGATTAAGGGGGAGCTACACCCTTGCGTGGGTGCTCCAATGAGGACTAGTGGGGAGTGGCGACTCTCCGATACCTCGGCAAAACATCACCACGTTCCTTCTCCTCTCTTTAATTTGAGCATTTACTTTTGAGCAATTCAATTTTTGTCTTTACATTCTTAGAATTGCCATGCTAGAGTAGGATTAGAACTTAGGGTGCTAAACTTTTATGCGGTAGATCATTAGAATCACATTCTAGGCACAAGGGGTGAAGTGGGCTAAATGTAGAGTTTAATTATTGCAAAGAATTTTAGAATTAGCCCAATTCACCCTCCCCTCTTAGGCATCTTGATCCTTTCAATTGGTATCAGAGCCTTGTGCTCACGTATTTAGGCTTAACCGCCTAGAGAAAGATGTCTCACGGGGATGGACCTCCTCCTATCTTTGAGGGAGATGATTTTCCTTATTGAAAAATCCGCATGGAGGCGTATTTAGAAGCTCTAGATGTTGGAATTCTTAGAGCCGCCTCTCAAGGTTTCCCAAAACCTAGAGATCCCACGCACCTTCAAGGCGATAAAGTGAATTACGAAAAATGGAATACAAAGGCTAGAAACACCATCTTTAGAGGCCTTTGCAAAGATGTGTTTATCTGTGTGAGGAACCACAAGGATGCCCATACACTATGGTCGGACATTTGTGCACTCCATGAGGGAACAAAAAGCGAGCGTGAGGAACGCTATCATCTTGTGATGAAAAAGCTTAATTCTTTTGAGATGCTTTCGAAAGAAAGTGCTAATGAAATGTACTCACATTTGAATATTCTTGTAGAGGAAGTCAACGGGCTTGGACTTACTCAAATGCAACCATCCGATGTTGTAAGAAAAATCTTGAGTGTCCTCCCCATTGACAAATATGGGCATATTGTGACCGTGCTCCGTCAAGGTGATCTTTCCACCGCTACACCAACTCAAATCTTAGGAAAGATCAACGCTCATGAGATGTACATGCACATCACACCACAAGATGGCTCATCCTCTACCAAGAAGAAAGACAAAGACTTGGCATTCAAGGCTAGCCAAGAGAAGGGCAAAGCAAGAGTTGAGTATGAGAGCTCAAGTGATGATGAAATTGATGATGCAAGTCTTGCTCTCATGGTGAGAAGAACCGCCAAGATGCTAAAGAAGCTCAACAAGAACGACGTCAAGTTTGATGGCAAGAAAAAGAAGTTCTTCACTAGCAATAGAAGGAAGCCAATCTCGGAGATGGATTGCTACAATTGTGGAGAACTTGGTCATCTAGCACATCAATGCCCCAAGCCCAAGAAAGACAAGTACAAGAAGAAGTACAAGGGGAAGAAAGATGACTCAAGTAATAAAGATGAAGATGAGAAGAAGAAAAACAAGCCATACAAGAAGAAAGATGGCAAGAAGAAGGATTTCCACAAAAACAAGAAAAATGGCAAGGCATACATCGTCGGTGATTGGCTCACGGATATTGATTCATCAAGTTGCTCATCCAATGATGATAGTGAAAATGAGAAGGTGGCTGCCATTGTGATTGACTCTTCATCATCTTCACGAACACCACCGCCATCATCCTCTACACACCTATGCCTTATGACCAAAGGTGAACGAAAGGTATCAAATGATGATGAAAGTAGTGGTGATGAACATGCTTGCAATGATGATATTGATAGTGATGATGATGAATTTGAATCACCTTCATATGATGATCTTGTTAAATTGCTAAATCAATACACTAAGATCATTAGAAAGACTAGAGCTAAGAATGAAAAGCTAGAACTTAAGAATGATTCTCTTTTAGCTAAATGTGACATAGCGGAAAAGGGTAGTGTTGAGCTTGGAGAAGCAAATGATGCTATGTCATCCAAACTTAAGGAGCTCAAATCTTCTAAGAAAGAGATTAAAGATAAACATGATAAACTTGAGGGGATACATAATGAGCTCATCACTAGCTACAAAATGTTAAAAGATGAATATACAAATCTCAAGATCAATCATGATAATCTTGTTATCTCTCATGAATTTTTATCCAATGAGCCATATGATGCTACTAACGATGTTGTTAAGATTGATATAGCTATATCATGTGATGATTTGATTATTGAGAGCATTGAGCAAGGTTCTAGTAGCAAAGGCAAGCAAGTGGTTGAGTCTGATAACTATGATGAATATGTCAAGATCAAGAATGAGAATGAGAAGCTTAAGAAAGATCTTGAAGAACTATCAACCACCAACACTATTATGTTAGAGAACCTTGATCATGATTATGATGTAGAGCTCAAGGAAGAAAATGAGAAACTCAAAGAAGAGAACAAAAAACTAAAGATGGAGAAAAATCATGATGAGCTAAAAGAAGAAAACAAGAAGCTCAAGTTGGAGAAAGAACATGTCAAGATTGGCTTGAGCAAGTTTACAAGAGGCAAGCGTCTTCAAAGTGAGTTACTCATGAACACCATCATAAAGATGGATAG